GTTATAATGAACGTTTTTTTTTTTTTTTTTTTTTAATTATAAGTTATTATTTGAGAAACTATTTTTATAGCATTTTATGTTTTCAATAAAATTATTTCAAGTTCCCTGATTTATAAATTATTTGCTTTTTCTCTCATGACGTTTATGAGTTAACATTTCTCATGACGTTTATGAATTTTGAGATTTTTAAATCTTATATAAATATTTTTGTTGCGTGTTTATTTATTAATGTTTTTCTAGTCTTTGACTTTGGCAATAAAGTTGTAAAAAAATTTAAAAGCAATAAATAATTCAAAGTATAAATGATCATTAACTATAAATTAATTGAATTGTGAATATGAAAAAATTGTTGGTTCTTTGTTACACGATTTATAACCATTTCTAAATGATTTTTTATTAAATCATAACTTTCTGCACTGGCAATTTATTGATCATAGAATAATGAATCTCCGTTATGGAAATACGAAGGATTAACTTTAAATATTCAGCTGTTTATAAATGTTGAAGATTAAAAAGAACTTTTAAGTTCTGGAGGAAAAATTCAAGTCACTAAATACCCATTGTCTGGTTGACGCTTTACAATAATTAATCAGTGGTAAGCGCAGAGACGGAAGAATATTTTCTTCAATTTATCAGAAATAAATAAAAAAGCATATCCAAGAAGAAATTACTTCATTTACAAAAACAAAACTCGTAGTCCCAATATATGCTTGATAAGTAAAATTTAAACCATTTCCTTAAAGCATGGTTCATCTACTAGAATGAATAGAATGCTTGACCTGGCTTAAAGTGAAGGCGTTTACTAGAGCACGTGGATCTCTTCAAAAATTAATTGAAAAAGAAGTTTGCAGTTGTCAATAGTTTTCGTTATCACCACTGATGATTGGACCACTAGGTCTAGGCAATACAATCCAGAAGATCCATAATGTCTCTTAGACTTCACTTTATCAATCAGTTTGAACTTAAGTAATGTGTCCTCAACTTTAAGAATATTGTGAGAAGACACACTGGTTACTACATTAGCAAAGTAATTCTTTTTTTATATCGTAATAATTTGTACTTGTAAAAATCAATTTTTTTAGCGTAAAATTAAATAATTAAAATTTAGTTTTCCTTTAGAATAGTTGGTTTCTCGTAAAATTCTGTTATTTATTGTAAGAATCAGTAATTTATTGTAAAATTTAATAAACTATCTTCAAAGTTATTAATTTATTGTAAAACCCAACAAGTTTTATATGTTACCTTAAAAATCCTTATTTTATCTTCATTTTTGTTTAAAGTTCTCGAGGAAACGGTCCAAAAGTATCCGGTGTTTGACGCCGTACCCAAGAATGTCATTGTCCACGATGTGGCGACAAACATGAAACATCCTAAGTCAATCATGAACAAGATAAAATATGAACCACTGTTGTGTGAAGACTACTAAAAACTAGCCTACTCCATGCTATCAACAAAGTGCAAGAAAAAAAAACTGCATAGATATTCCCACACAACTATCTAGCGAACTCACAGGGCCACCTTAGCTTGTCAACTTATTTAAAAAGATTGTGTGTTGCTCTGTGTAAACTATGTTAAAAGTATTGTACCTGTCAAAACCAAATGGAATTTTAACTGCTTTATGTTAGAGTCAATCTTAAAACATAAAGATGTGTTGATTTCTCTTAAAGAAAAAGATTCACTAAATAACAACCCACTACAGAGCGTTATTCAAAGTGATAATCAGTTCTCACTGATGGCTTCACTGATGCTGGTCTTAAAAAAATAAAGATTATGTCAGAATGTATGTCCTTAAATCGTATGCTAACTATGCTTTATAAAACTGACAATTTTTCTTCATAGCCACATTGATATTGAAAACAGAGAAATAATTAAATTAATTTTTGTAAAAAGCGACCATTTACACAAGGCCATGAAATTCAATAACATGGAAGATACAACCATCACTATGCCTTGAGAAATTATCCGTACTTTAGAGATAATAAGTTTATCCATACTTTAGAGATAATAAGTTTTATTTCTTGGTAAAAAACCATTTCTTAAAATTTGTTATTCGTTAAAAGTCTAAATTTAATAGTTATCGTTTATGGTTTCCGGATATATGCTTAAACAATACGGTATCTTGGAAGAATTCACCAAGAAAGTTATCAACAATCATCCATTGTTGGAAGCTTTTTTGATTACTGAAAAAAAAATTCGAAAAGAAACAGGTTAAAATGCCAGTTGGTGTGGATGAATAAGACAATCTTATTGAACAGGATGATAATGACCACACCATTAGTCGAAATGTAACGGAAATCAAAAAGAAGTTTGAATTTCTCCACGCTATGCTTTGTGTTGAGGAAAAGCATAAAGTTGATGCCTCTATTTTGCTATTGTTAGCACAGTTGGCTAGAAAGGTGCTCTGTATTCCAACTGCATCAAGCTGTAGTGAGAAAGTGTTCAGCGCCAAGACACAATCTTGCCTCTCAGATAGCAAAGCAATTGACTTTGATCAAAATTAATTATGATCTAATCCGCCCTCACATGATCTTGAAAATTGTAAGTGATACTGAAAAAGTCCTCAATCCCTCAGCATTAACTCTAGTCAGAACACCTTCTAAGAATCCTAAACCCAAAGCAAATTCTTCAAAAAAGGAAAAAAAGTTATCTGTAAAAACAATCCACGTTTCATCAACGCCATTGTGCGCCATCATCTTTATTACCTTTAACACCAACATATTCAAGAATCAAAAGAAAATAGTGGAAGAACTTTCCGAAAATGACACTCAGCTCTAACTAACACCAGCACTGTCAGGCCCTTCAATTAAAAAGGGAAAATTTTCAAAGAGTAAATTTAGAAATTCCTCATTAGAGACAACTGACATTGGTACAGATTCTGACTAAATAAAATATTATTTCTTGTTAAAGTAAAACTAATAAATGAATATTGATATAAAAATTGAATTGTTTTTCTTTTTTATTTTGTAAACTAAAAAATTTATTGTAAAATTTTAAATTTATTGTGAAATATAGAGTAAAACAGGGTAAAATGAAATAGCGGGTAGAATGAAATAGTTATGACAATGTTTATTCTTTCGCCCTTAATTAACTATTGAATAATTTTTTTTTTGCAAATATTTTTTGCTTATTATTGTACAGAATATTTTTCTGAGAAGATTGTATTAAATTTTATTTTTAATAAAAAAAATTTTGTTATAAATTTAAAAGTTTTCAAATGCATAATAAGATTTCTTTTTATTTGTTTGAAAAGGGAACTTAAAACTCTTGGAAATTAAATTCAGTATCGTTGAACTTAAAATGTTTACTGGTACCAGTAAACATTTTAAGTTCAATGATATTTCATTCAACCCCACAACACTCCGTTTCCGTTTTTAACTCATAACTTTTTTTATTAAGTAGCAAATTTAATTTTGAAAAAATTAAATTTGCTTTTTGATTCTTGATCAGCGTAAAAAGTTGTACCATGGTACAACTTTTAAAAGATTTTTGAGACAACTTTTAAAAAGACAACTTTTAAAAAGATTCTTGATCAACGTAAAAAGTTGTACCATGGTACAACTTTTTACGCTAATCAAGAATCTTTTTTCAAAATTAAATTTGCTACTTAATAAAAAAAGTTATGAGTTAAAAACGGAAACGGAGTGTTGTGGGGTTGAATGAAATACACTAATAAATAAATAAATACGAAGCAATAGCTTATTTCTTAAAAGCGGCTTTTTTTTATGAAGTCTCAAATGATCAATAAATCTCCAACTATAACGTTTTGTATAAATTTCAATGAACGAATTTTTCTAACTGAATTTAAATGAATTTTACTTACTGCTTTTATAAAATGGTTCTAATAAATGAATGAAATACGATACTCTCTTGTTAATTACGGTCACCATGTCTGCAAACAACTTTCAATATTCTAGTAACTCCGACTATTCAAAAGGAAATTCCAAAAGAGGTTGCAAAACAACTTCAATCAGCCCAATCACTTGCAGCAGCTTTACAATATACAATACACACACACAAAAAGAAAAAATGTAGGTGTGCAAAGATTCGAAGGGGAGTGTCTCAACAAACCTGAAATACTTGAAAGGTTGAAAGATGCTGAGAGCACAAAAGCAGCAAACCAAGTTAAAAAACAACCTAAGCCTATCTCTAATGGAGAACAGTAAATAAACCAAGCAACAAGTCCAACGAAAATATTAGCTGCAAACCAATTCAGGTGTAAAAAGTGCCCAAATGTTTTGAGCGAAACTTCAGCGAGTCAAAATATGGTATGGTGCCATTGTAAAAACTCAAATTGCAAGGTTTGGCTATGTCAAACATGCATACCAAAGCGATACGTAAAAGGCGCTGCGTTTTATTGCACCAAAAAGTGTTGCACAAGTGAAAACTCAACTCAACCTCCAGCACCTCTAAACGACTCAACATCATCACAAGGATAAAAAAGTTTATTTTATTTGATTGATTTTTTAAATTTTATTATTGATTGTTTTTTTAATTGTTATTATTGATTGCTTTTTTTTTTTTTAACAAAGTGCTGTTTTAATTACACTTATATTTGCGTATTTCATTCTCCCCGAATGTCAGTGTAGAATGGAATAAATTTTTTTAGATTTTTATATATTTAAATACAGCTCAATATTCTTTACAATAAAAAAAAAGAATAAAGGAAAAATATTTTTTTCGTAAAAAATTAATAATTAAAATCTTTAACTACTCCATTTGACCCCATTTTACTCTATTATATATACAAATTATATATATATATATATATATATATATATATATATATATATATATATATATATATATATATATATATATATATATATATATATATATATATATATATATATATATATATATATATATTATATGAATATATAATTTATTCATATAATATATATATATATATATTATATGAATAAATATATATATATATATATATATATATATATATATATATATATATATATATATATATATATATATATATATATATATAT